TTTGGGATGAACTACAATACTTGAAGACCCTCCACTTACGACTGATGGCTCCTGGACTTTGTTCTCGGGATCGATGCTTTGATAGCGATAGAAGTTCATGCCGATCGCCAGTAGCGGGATCATGCCAAGCAAAGACGTCATTGTGCCAAACGCCATGTTTCAGTAATTGTCAAATCCAAGGATCCTCCTGACAGTTTCTGCTCGTGGCGCAGTGGGAGCTAACACTGGTGCGCTGCTTGATCGCTGGGTTCGAGTGCGGATAGCCGAAGCTGCCTGCGGGCGCACTGGCTGACAGGGTGGAACTGGCCGAGTCGCCTCCGCCAAGTATTTTGGGCGTGTAGTTGCGTATGCCACCCGGCCGGGCTGACTTGAAGTGGGCGCGCGCCCGTTCGTCCTCCTCCAAGATGTCCAAGTAGGACTTGATATACAGGTGATGGCTCAGATAGTGCTTCTGCTTGTCCAGCGAACGGCTGGACTTGCTGGAGAGCAGCGAGCTGGGGCAGCCGCTGCTTGAGCTCGCCGAGCTGCTGCTAATCGCCGACGAGGACAGCGATGAGAGCGACGAGCAGTGACAGGAGGAGTTGTAGATGCCGCTGTCCGAGCTCTGCGAACTGCTGCGCTGCAAATACTTTCCGTTCAACTTGGCGTAATGGGAGTCGCTGTCCAACGGCAGGCTGCTTCGGTTCGTAGCGCTGCCGGCCAGTATCTTGGTCCGCTCGTACGTCTGCTTCGTCAAATTGTACTTGTGTCGCAGTCTATAGTTGGCGTCGTAGTCGTCGGTGCTGTTCGAGCTGGAGCTGCTAGAAAGGTGGCTGGCGGGCGTGTAGATGGGATCCTTGTAGCTCTTGCGATGCGGCTGGCCACGCTTATGATTGAGGTTCAGGTTGTGGTTGAGGTTATGGTTGTGATTGTGGTTGTGGCTGTGGTTGTGGCTGTGGTTGTGGTGTTGCTGCTGCTGTTGCGATACCTCTTGGCCCATATTTCAACTGCAATATGGACAGAACTGCAAAGCAAAATGACAATTATTAGTGGATGAAACTACATGTAATTATAGACTTAACACTAAGTGAGTAGAGGAGTGATATGTCATTGGAGCCCTGACCCAAATTCGTGCATAAGCGTGGAGCCTTGAGTATCAAGAGAGGGCGCTTTGGGTATATGCAAATTAGGGAAAATCCTTCAAAGCTTAATCTTTAGATTAGTGTTGGCATGATAATTGAGCTATGAGCACTAAGTGAGTCGAGGGACGATGTAGCTATAAGGCATTCAGACTTATGATATGAGATAAAGAAACTTCAGTGTCAAGGAAGCCTAGGGAAATAAACTATTGCTATGATAACTTAGGCGAGAGCTCTACTTTAACTATCTGCTGCGTAGAGCTCAGATGATGGGAAATTTCCTTCATCATATCAAGCCTATTTGACCCTATGATGCCTTAGGCGAGAGCTCTACTTTAACTAGCTGCTGCGTAGAGCTCAGATGATGGGGAATTTGCTTCATCATATCAAGATGTTCAATTCAATAGCGAAGCACATGCAGGCCACGCCCTAATCGAAGCTATAGAGATGCGATATTGCTCTGGCTTTTAATTGGAAGATGTGCCCTAGTTGTGGCGGGTTATATCATCGTTTTTGTTTTTTTTTTTTTTTGTGTTTTTTGGCATCTACGTCTCATACGCTCATTCTGTGGCGCATCCAATACCGTCTGAGACTTCTTCTGTCACGTAACGAGAGCTCTGAACTAGTTAATTATTAACGGGCTCTGCGGTGCGACGGAAACGATGACGTTTGTTTTGCAATCCAATTGGCCAATTGTTGATGTTCGTTCATTTGCATGGCTAGCATACAGACGCCGCTATACGCGCTGCCAAACAAAAGACTTAGGCAACGAACTTGTTTACATTTTTCGCAAGCCAAACGAAAAACAACCAAACTTGAATGCATGAAAATAAAAAAGGTTATCAAATCACAGATTGAAAAGCCAACCGAATTCGAATGATGTCAAAACGGCATCTCATTAAAGACATGCGCGATTGCCCCCAACTTGATATCACTCTCTCCCACTCTCCACCTCTCTGTCTCTCTCTCTCTAGCTTTGTCTCACTCTGCCTCTTGCTTTCAGTCGCTCTCACGATTATGCGATGTGATGCGGTTCAAGTTTTTCAAGTTCAATGCCGCCAGGCGGAAAAGCGCAACTTTGCATTGCATTTTCTGGTTTCTTTCTGTTTTCATTATGACAATTTCGCATTTGTTTGTCTTTATTTTTGTATATTTGCTTTTTTTTTTTTGGTTTTTTTTTCTTTTCTGTTTCAACTGCTGTAAAATGCAATTTCGTTATTTGGTTTATTTGTGCGAATGTCATTTGCGGCCGTCTGTTCCGAGTGTCAGCTTTAATTGCTGTCCGTTAGATGCTGCTGTGGTTTTTCCAGTCTCTTCAACATGTTGTCGCGCTCGATTTAAACGATACCAGTGAAAGCCGAACCCCACACACTGTGAGAGGCAGACAGAAAAAGAGTGTGTGTGAGAGACAGAGAGAGCGAGAGCGAGATAGTGAGGGAGTGGGAGAGCATGCGATTCGACTGCAATTGTGTATTGCAACTTCCTGCTCCTTGCAGCTAGTCAAAAGTTTTTGGCTTTACTTTTCGTTGATGATTTTTGGCACTCGAATTATCCAAAAACTTTTGTGAACGTTTGGCCGTCGTCGCGGTTCGTTTGTAACTGAGCCACAGGCCAAGCAAACTATTTCCAATTCAAAAAACCAACCAACAAAAAAAACATTTGTATATATGAAAAATAAAAATGAAATAAAATTCAGCTAAAAACAGCAAACGTCGAACTGTGAGCACAGTACAACATGTTAATTTATGCAACGCCCTTGGGACAGACCCCATTTGTGATTTGGGCCAACCCCAGCTACTGCTACAGCTTCATCTGCATCTCCATCTCCATTTACATCTCCATCTCCATCTTCATTTCCATCTCCATCTTCATCTCCATCTTCATAGTCAATTTCGACTTGAGCTTTATGTCTTTGGCCATTGTGATGCAAGCGCTGCTTTTTCCCATTTTTGGCTTTTCTCATTCATTGAATTGTTCGGCTCGGCTCTGGGCTTTACATCATATGACTCCATGTGTATATATGTATGTAGAGCCCCCACATACGCCCCTTCTTCTCAGCAGCCAGCTACAGCCATAGCTCCAGTTACCTGATGAGCTGCTGTCGATTGTTTGCTGTTGCTCTTGTTGCTTATGCAATTTACACATTGTTAGAAATACACTCTGACTGTGGCTCTGGCTGTGGCTCTGGCTCTTACTCTGGCTCTCACACGGCCAGACGCTATAACAGTTGGGTCTATCTGTCAATTATGATTTGACAGCTTTTAATTATGAGCGCGCTTAGTTTGCGGCTCGTAATTGATGACATTTGGCTGTTTATTTTTGTTATTGTCTGTTTGCTGTCTCGATTTGGCCACGGCTTCCTTAGTGGGTCACACTGGGCCATCCAGCAGCGAGCTGCCGACTGCCAGCTGCCGACTGTCAACTGCAGGTCTTGACACTTTCTCACTTGAGTCACGCTTGCTGCGTATTAAAACACATAAACAAAAATAGAGAAAAAAAAAATATTTAAAAAAAAGCGAAAAAAGAAATTAAGACGCGTCACTAATTGCCCAGCTGTTTATTAGTTAGTTGGTCGCTTAGCAGCAGACGCCAAGTCCCGTTCGTATATCCGGATGGATTGGATAATGCAGCGGCACATTAGCCACGCGTCTCTATCGACAACAAAAGCTAATTGTCTGTTGCACTAATCATCGATAACAGCGGCGATAACATTTTATCTGTTGACTAATTGCGGCGAGCAGCGCAGCAGGGTGGAACGCCAAGCACTGAAGAAGAAACTGCTGGGCATGAAAATTAATCGGTTATCGATACGCTCTGAATAGCCAAGCTAAGCAGTCAAGACACATCAAGTAAATCATTCTAATCATCGTTCATTATCAATTGCCTCATACAGTAGAGTCATTTACATGTGTGTAGGTTTTTGTTGTTATCGATAACATTTATATATGCATGCAGATATAAAAGAATAGTACAAGAATATTTATGGCTCTTTAATATTTAATCAGATTACCAACTGAATATTGTCAATTTTAAACAATAACTTTAATCCATGCAGAGCTCATGCTATCGATAACAATCTCTTTGTGTGCTTTGTCATATATAGCCAGAACCTAATGTGATTGCTGGTACAGCTCACATAGAATCGATAACAGTTACTCTATAATTTTAAACAACAAGTGTACAGCTCTTTGAGCACATGTTATCGATAACTGAAAGTTTTAGCCAAGCATAAAGTCAGCTATCGCTGCTATCACCACGCATTTGGCTCACAACTCTTTGAGCATCCACATTTGGCGCGCCTCTGCGTCCAGTCATCAAATCTATAAATCTCTGGTGCAACATGTAATCGATATAATCGAATCCATAAATTCAATGGTTTTTTGTCATGCGCCAGTCTTTTCCCCATTGCCCGAACATGCGACATGGGTGACTTGTGGTCGCCTTTGGCTTTTCCAGTTTTCCTGCTACGCCTTGCTCTAAATCCGCCAAGTTGGCTCTGAACTTGATTGCTGCCAATGCCAATCAAGTGGCGCCCGAGCAGGGACATTTATGCATTATTTTTACTCATTTCTTTTTTTTATATTTTGGAGCTGTTGCTATGTTTTGCGACGCGTTTGTGTTTATCGGCGTTTACTTTCCTTTCGGCTGGTTTTTGCGTTTAATCGTTTTATGCAGCAGTAGCCGCATGATCGACTATTTATAGCTTCGACGTGCACAAATTGATAATAATTTGCGCGCACAGGTGCGAGGCGGCAGCGGCGACGGCGACGGCAACGGCGACGGTGGCGGCAGTCAGCCGAAAGGTAGAAAGTGTTAGCCGGCGGGCATGTTCGAGATGTGCAAAGGGAAGTCGACTTAAACTTCGGCTTGGGCTGTTGTTACTCAAAATTGGAATTACATAAGAACGCGCCGAGCCGGTGTTCGAATGAGGCAAAGAACGTGTTAGGCAATGTGGAAGCGGAACGAAGTGAAATCAAAATGGAACGTGAATAGCACGAGAGAGTTCACTAAACAAACTAAGTAAATAGAAATGAATTGGAGTTTCGAGAAGTATAGAAACTTATGAAATAAGAAATTGATAAGAAATATGAATGAAATGAAATGAAATGAAGAGTAAAGGTATTGATTTTGCTATTAATAAATCAAAAATGTTAAATACTACATTAAATGTAAATAAAATTGAAATATTAAAAATAGTATTAGAAATAAGAAAATTATATTTAGCGAAGCAGTCTAACGAAAGAGATTTAAAAAGAAATTGAGGAGAAGGAAATACCAAATTTTTCAGGAAGTAAAAAGTGAAATGAAAAATGTAATGAAATAATGAAAATGAGAGTGAGAATATAACAATAATGTTCAGGGCACCGTCTAAAGGAAGACCTATCAGTAAATATCGATAAGTGCTGAGGAATGAAATGAAATGCAAAACACAAGGTCAAAGATGAGAAAGTGATCGAATTAATATCTACAAATTTTAAGAGAATGTTGTTGGTATACAAATTATTAGATAGCTAGAAAGCGCTATAGATTGATGGATAGATTATTGAATAGATAGATGTATAGATTGAATAGATAGATGAATAGACAAACTGATAGATGCTTGATAGATAGATATATCTATAGATGATAAATAAGTAAAGACAGATTTATATTTTGATATAGATATAATGATAGATGGATGTACATAAAAATATATATAGTTGGATAAATAGGTAGCTCCATAGCCATAATAATGGACATTTCATAATTTGTATGCAAGTACCATAAAAATCATATGGAAATGGCCAATAAAATGCATTTGCAATGATATTTGAACGTGTTTCGGCATTCCGTATCGGAAACGCTATCAGAAATTGAATTAAGAGCCATAGTAGAGATTACATAAGCGAATTGCAGGCGTTGCGCGCTTTCCAAAAAGGGAAAATTAGGACAAGTAAATCAAGTGCGCGGATAGCTTGTGTGCATAGTATATATATTTATATATGTATGTGTGTGTGTGTGTGTGTGCTTAGTACAAGTAACTTTGTCAACGTACCTCCGCTTGTTGTCGCTGTCTTTGTTGTTGCTGCTGCAATTGCAACTGCAACTGTTGCTGCTGCGGCTGTGTTGCCTCGTCTGCAGTTACCACAAACGCAACCGCTTGCCACTTTCCTTTGTCTTACACATTTTATACACTCGTGTATATAAATATATATAAATATATGTATGTATATATATATCTTTGGGTATATACATATATCTCTATATCTTTCCTCACTTTTTTTACTTGGCGTGCAACGTCTTAACAGAAAATAAAAACAAACAAAAAAAATTAAAAAAGAAACAACAACGAATAAAAACTGAAAACACAAAGCAAAACGTATCAGTCGGATATACGGCGCGAAGTTCACTCGATTCCTATGTGCAACACGCGTGGCTTGGGTTGATTTATATATGATCTTCTTTAGCTTGAACTTGTATTTGATATACTTTTTATATAATTGTTGACAGTCACGACGGTAGTTGGCGACGGCAGCGAGCACTCACTGTACGATACGCACGCCACGGGCTCGTCTTGTTCAATGAGCAAATCGCTGGAGCGCAGTCCACACTCGAGCTTCCCTCCCAGACCAACTAAATAAAAAATCAAACCGAAACAAAAACAAAATACAAACCAAAATCACGAAAAGCTCCTCACTTTGAGCTTTGACCATTGCGGCTGCACTTTCGTTTTCATTCGTACGCGCCGGCGTCTGGCCCCTCGGCTGCTCCTTCGCCATCATCTTCGTTTCTGTCTGCGCTCTTCGGCTACGTGCGCTGTCCAACGTCTGAGCTGGTTTTCTTTCTATCTCTTGCTCTTTCTCCCCTTCTTTCGATTTGCTCAGCTTTTGCTGCAGCTCGAAGCTTTCTGCTCGAAAGCTTTTGCAGCTCGCGTTGCCCATTTGATTGATATCATTGTAGATCAGCTTGCTTCAGTTTGAATTGACCAAAACATTTCGATACACTTCCCGATCGAAGATCGTGAACTCTATCATGGCAGCACAGCTCATAGTGTGAATCTATTTACAACTTTTCCCGCGTTTCCATTTGACTTTTGCTTGTGTACCTTTAAGTGGGGCTCATGTTAAACACGTTTGCAATTTCTTTGTGAAATTTAATGTGAAACCTCACGGAATACCCTATATGCATGCATATATGTATATGTACATATACATATGTGAAATCATATACCCTATACCATACTTAGCTGGTTTTTATTGCAGCTATTTTAGTTAATTTTTGTTTTTTTGCAACCTCATCTACTGTTTTATAAAGTGTAGAGGGCGCTCATATGATTTGCTACGTCATATCTAAAAGACGATTAATATGGACTCTAACTGCTTCTTTAGTATTAATATTTGATTGAAGATATATTGGACAAATCGTATGAAAACCAATCAATGATTATGAAAATCCTTGTTGTTCTTCAATATAATAATCTTTTTCAATATAATAATACCATATATACATACATACATAGAATATTTTGTCCAGTATCTCTTGAGATTTGTACTCTGAATATTATTTTTATTGAATATTATTCAAATTATTTACACGAATCTGCTGCTATATTTTGTGTTTCGAAATGATTATATTCCTCTTTTCTAACTATAGTGCTATCCCCTCCAATTCCTATTGGTTTACTAGACTAGCTGACTCAGCATTCAAAGTATACTCTGTAAATAATATATGAAGCTTTTATATATCACGGAACTACATAAATATCTTCCTGTCATATGATTAATGTGTAATGCTCGTAATGCATTTTTTTTCATATTTTATATTGCTCTTGTACTCAGCATCTCATTTATGGGGTGTACTTGTTCACAATTTAATCTGTCTCTGTTTTTCCCTCTGTAATCTCACTCTCTTTCTCTCTTTCTCATTGTTCTTAACAGTCCTGTTAAAGCTACTCGTTTTGGCTCTCTAGTATTTCTCTCTTTATTTTTCTTCTCTCTCTCCCTGTCTCCCTCTCTATTTTCTTCTCACTGTCTTGCCCTTTCACACCCTCCCACATACACTCTGCCTGCGTCTGTTAAGCCCAGCTTGAATACATTTCTCGAAGTTCACGTGCCGAGTGCAATGTCTTCCAGCTGAAACGTTGAATGACCCCCCACAGACTCAGAGCAAAACCCACACGATGTTTTCGCATGGTGGTAAACCCACTCTGCACCGCTGCCCACAATTTCAGCTGCTGCTCCACACTGTCAGCACACAGTTGGCCTCCTCACTCATTCACTCACTTGTTCATTCATTAACTCACTCAAGTGGCTTGAAACGTCATGACGCGTCATTCGTTTCGGCTGCCATTCGTGAACTCTATTCGCCGTTCGCCGTTCGCCGGCTATGGAGCAGCTGCGGCCCGGTTGAACCACAAAGCCACCATTGAACTCTGCGCACTACAACTCCTCGAGTCAAATGGAGCCAAATATATTTTACCTTGCCGCTTCCGGCAGGTCCCAGCCAGCGGCGGGCTGCTCCGCTAGGCCAACAGAGTTGACATTGAATCCGTTGTAGTTTTTTTTTCGAGTTATTTTTGCGGTTTTTCTTTGCTAAGTTTGGCAACTTTCGTTTCGCTTAATTTTCGGGGTCCAAAAACCCAGCCAGCCAGCCAGCTGGAGGCAGCATAAATATTTATGCGTTGCACTTGAGAGCGTTCCTGGCGTCGGCCGCCAAAGTGAGCCGCCCCTCGCCCGATCTGTCCGTCCCGCGTCCCTGGCGCCCAGCACTGGCATTGGATTTATGGCCGCGTTCCGCGACCCGACTCGCCGGGTTGGATCCGAGGAGTCCGAATAATCATAGCAGGCAAAATAGATATAAATGAACCGAATCAGAATGTAATTGGAGACAGACGAGAGTGTACCCTGCATCAAGTTTAATAATGGATAGGGTACATTTAGCAGGAAGAGAAACCATACACATATATCTTTCACATATTCCACATTATAGATCGTAAAGAGTTTTTCTGTCTCATAGTTTCTTTGTAGAGTTAATTGCGAAAATAAGAAAGAAGTTTTCAATTTCAATTTATACCTTGGCAGGAATATCTGTCTAGAATAATAGTTGTATAGCTGAGTTGCAAAAGAAAAAGACCTATGTATCTGGGTTTGTGATAGGAATCATATCTTGTGATACAGCATGGAACTGGAAAGCCTTTAAATCGGTAATGTGAGCTTCAAGGATAGGAGCTTGCTTTTACTTTCGAGCTCAGCACAATTAACCATTAGGATAGAAGATTTATATTTAAAGTTATACTTGTTGTGTTAGGCTTACGATTATCTTGAAAGAACTTGAATTCAGAAATAAAAAATGATTATATATGAAAATCTTGATCAAAATGAAAATCTTAATCTTAGTATTAATATATAGTATACCTTAGGATCTGTAAAATTTTAATCATTTCGATAAATTTATAATAGGCTGCTCCTCTATACATATTTAAAGATATAGTAAATGAATCTTAAAGACAGCAGGAAAAACAAAAATAAACAAGGCATTTATAAACTCACTTCAAACTGTCTCACTTCGAACCGATATACCCATTCAGTCACTCGCGAAGAGCGCATAGAAAAGTGCTCTGTAATTATGTTTCATTTTGTTAACAAAATCATCGACCAACCCGGGCCAGCACACACAATGCATTATTCAATAGACATATGTATCATTGTTCAAGCATCGTTAAGTTTTTTTAATCAGCCCAGCCCCTAGCGGCCTAACAGCTCGGCCCCGTCTCCAAAGACCTCCTGCGTAAAGCCTAATTGCAATCATCTTCGAAAAGAGTTCGTAATTGCAATTGAATTCGCTTTGAAATTCCATTTAACGCTTCCCCGGCGCATCTAATTGGACAACGCATTGGGTAAACTTATTTCTTAGTTAGGTTTTATTTTTTAATGCCAGCTAATTTACGCACCCATTGTTTGTAAAATGAGGAAAATTATACGTATTACTTGGGCTATTATTGCTGTCCAGATTGCGTAACACCTACCTCGGGCAATAAATTCAAAAACTATTCGGAAATTCGGCGCTGCGTTTCCGCTTTGCCAAAATGGTAGTCCAAATATTGAACCTGCTAGAAGTTTCCCTTTTCCCTTATTAATATCTTTCATTTATTTCGATATCTAATTCGAAATATATCGTTCCATACCATTCATCAGCTTTTGACATTAATATCTTTGTGCAGCTGTATTTTTCGATAAGTATCACATTTACAACTGAAACACGTTTCGAGCAATGGTCTTCAAACGTGTATTTGATAGACGTGACGTGATGTTTCGGCTGTCGACAAGGCAGATTTATATTGGGAGTTTCTTTGACATGCAGATAACCGGAACAGTGGATTTAATTTCCTATTGTATTCGATCCCAACTAATCCATCAATCAATCAATCCCTTGATGCTGAACTGTTTATTTCGCCGCGAAATTATATAATCACTTATCTTTACATATAATTTTGATAGCTCATTGTTTGAGTTGGTAGTTTCGTTAGAGGCATTTATAAATTCTTGAATGCTCTTGATATTTTACACATGTTTGCAAATAAAATAAATTTGATAGTAAGAGTGGATTGAATTATATTCAATCGAATATAACTCAATCAAAAACCGATAACAATTTTCTGACAGAGGGAAATTATTCCTAAAAGAAAGGTTTTTTCCTTCGATTTTTGTTTAGTAGACTTATTCGGATTATGTGTGAAATATATTAAAAAATTAAAAGATTATAAAAAATCATTGGTATTAAAAACTTAAGCGATGTTGTTATACATCGAAAATATTGTATAGTACTAAATCTGATGTTTAGGTTCTATACTTAATAAAATTTAGTAAAAAATATTAAAAAAAAAAAATTAAATATAAAATAAAAATAAAATTGAAAATATTGGATATGGGAAATTCACACATATACACACACATAAAGTTTACTGAACTAATCAAGTTTCAAGAGCTAATTACCAAATTATTGATTATACTTTCTTATAAGTATAGATCTTAGATCTTTAGCTATCATACTATATATTCCAAGACTGTAATTCATTTACCACTAAACTTCATATCTAGATAAATGCAAAAAGTAGGCAAAATTTTACGTTGGTGCACCTAATTAATTTCAAATCTGCATTCCAAATGCCATTTCAAGCTAATTTCTAATAATAGTCTTAAAGCATACTTTCAAGTGCGATTTTAGTTGAGTAAACATTGAAATCATTTGTGGAATTTATTTAACATTATAGCTCAAATAAGTTTAGAGCTTTCAATGCTTTTTATATTTCTATAATAACAATAAATGAAAAGCATTTGTTAACTTTACAAAATCTCTTTCTACTTTCAGGTAAGCTTTTGAGTCGGGCTCACGTAAGGTTTGTGTACTTGCTGATCAGCAATGTGGGTTTGTGTGCCAGCTAAACAAGCGCAGGTTTGAAATGCACTGTAAAGCGCATTATGTGTTAAGCAAGTAAGAGGGTCGGAAGTGCACGACTATAAGATACTCTGCACGACTAATTTGGTTAAATTTGCTATGCTTTGCTCAAACAGACATCTGGAGAAGTAAATGCACATATGGCAGCTTCGAGTTTCATTGTTTATTTGTGTACTCATTGATTTATTTCGTTAGATATATATATATATAACAACTATTCCAATAAAAATACATAATGTAGTACTTCGTATCCAACTTAATTGCTAATTGAGGTTTTTTGTTTGTTTGCATGTTTGTGTTTCATATTAAATCGTCAATCGAAATGTTTTTGTTTACAAGCCAAAGACTAATTGAGGTACTCTCAGTGTAAACGTCGAATAAAAAAAAATGTAAAAAAAATGTTTATAGGTAGGAATACACACATATATGTTTCTATATACATATGTACACAACAAACAAGGAATCGCATTAGCATAAATGACTCGATATATACAAGAAGCGCTTATGTGACTAAGGACGACGCACAGTGGGAGGAGCTGCAAAGCGAACTAAAGTGTAATAAATTAGATACGCGACGAGAATTAACTAACTAAAAGCTAAACCCGGCTGCACAGCTTGCTCCAATTATACTAAAGCCTAAAGTAGCAGAGCTTTGGATTAATCTTGTTCAAATCAAACTCAAGGAGCTTTGGGGTGCGCGCCTATGATCAAAATATATATGCGTATACAAACGTTTGGCAAAGGATTCTACTTTGAGCTGAGCTTTTGCTTAAAGCTCAAAATTGAATTGAAATGCTAAATACGTAAGGGAAAAGTGGGGGATATACAAATGAATGAGTATAAAGATGTTCGAGTGGGGACTACTAATGAAAGTCGCTGATAAAAACCAGCAAAAATAATTTTAAAAAATCTACAAAAGGAAAGCTTCTTAGTGAAGAGTGAAACAGGAATGAAAGTGAGAAAATACATTTAAGCTACAGTGAAGCCAAATTGCACTGACTACTTGCAATTGAGCTCCCAGAAACTGTTTAGTTTGTCTTGCCCGCTACAAGATTAGTCTTAGGCTCAGTCTGCCACCTTGAGCAGCTGTCAGAGAGCTTTTAGCTGTGCCCCGGGCCCGGGCCACGCATCGCCCACTCGAGCTACGAGCTGGGCAATGGCCATTGTCGCACTGCATTCGCCAGTGTCTCGTTGCCGGCGAGCGGAAGGGAGCGCTTCGAGCGCCACTGCTGATCCGTTGGCTTGGTGGTGGGAGTTAGCCACAGCTGCTTGATGAGATCGGCGCCCTTCTCGGCGATCATGACGACGGGTGCGTGTATGTTGCCATTGGTGATCGTCGGCATGATGCTGGCGTCGATGACACGCAGCCCGGGCACGCCGTAGACCCGCAGCTGGGGATCGACCACGGCCCAGGGATCGCTGGGCGGTCCCATTTTGGCCGTACCACTCATGTGGTATATGGTCATCGTGTACTGCCTGATGAAACAGTTCCAATAGTCGTCCGTGAACATGGTCAGGTGCTTGCAGTTGGGCACCGGCTTGCTCCAGAAGCGTGCGCCGAAGCGCTTCATTGCCTGCGTCTCGCCCACGGCAATCGCTGACTTGACGCCCTCTCGCAGCACGTTCACATCGTCGGGATGGGTGAGGTAGTTGTGGTAGAGCAGCGGGTACCGCAGCGGATTCTTCGAGGCGAGCTTTATGTAGCCACGACTCTTGGGGCGCAGCATCATGGGAAAGATGCCAAAGACATCGCGATTGTTCACCTCGCTGAAGACCTCCTGGTAAAACTCGTCGGTCAGGCCGTGGGCGGTCTTCACCTGGGACCCGCCGTCGGACATTACCGACGCGGAGGTCATCATGAAGTTCATGTCGGGCCAATCGTCGCTGGAGTTCGCGTATTTGGTATTGATAAAGGCCACTGCCTCCAGGCCGATGCTGGAGGTGAGCGGTCCATCCTCCGTGATGGCGTAGCGCAGCGCTGTATTGATGTTCACCATGCGCTTCATCACAATCGAGATGGGGTAGTCGATCATGAAGGCAATGCCGCCCACCGCAATGTGATCCTGCAAGTTCTGCCCCACGCCCGGCAGGTGCTGCACCACGGGAATGCCCACTCGGGTCAGCTCATCGCCATGCCCGATGCCCGAGAGCATCATCAGATGCGGGCTGCCAATAGCGCCCGCTGCCAGCACCACCTCCCGCGTCGCGTACACGTTCTGCAGGCGTCCGTCCCGGATGAACTGCACGCCGGTGGCGCGCTTCGTGTGCGGATCCGTCAGCACCTTGGTCACATGCGAGAAGAGCGCCACGTGCAGATTGGGACGCAGTCGGGCCGGGCGCAGGAATGATTTGGCCGTCGAGCTGCGTGAGCCGCGGCGCATGTTGAACTGATAGAAGCCGAAGCCCGTCTGCTGCGCGCCGTTCACATCGACGATGTCGTAGCCCATCTCCTCGCCGGCCTGCAGGAAGGCCGGTCCGATTGGCGTATTGTAGGGCGCGTCCTGCACCGTCCAGAGGCCGCCTGAAATGAATCGAACTTAGGGCAAGCTCACATTGATGAACCGGTGCGACTCACCTGTGCCATGGTAGCGCTTGTTTCGCGCCAGGTAGGGATTGCGCTGATCCTCCGACTTGCGGAAATAGGGCAGAATCTCTTCGTACGACCAGCCGGGATTACCGAACGACGCCCACTGGTCAAAGTCCCGCCGATTGCCGCGTATGTAGAGCATCGTGTTGAGCACGGAGCTGCCTCCGATCACCTTGCCGCGTGTCCAGCAGCAGCGTTTGTCCTTCATCGCTTGGCAGGCAGTCGGCTGAGGCTGCGTGCTATCAGAGACAGAGAGAGAGAGAGAGAGAGAGAGAAAGAGCGAGAAGGAGAAAATGTAAACAATTAGCGAATCTGTTGGCAGCGCTTTCATCATTAATCAACAGGTAAACACCGCACGACAATAAAATCCCATTAGCTAAACTATTCAAGGGCCACGCCCACCACTCCCCGTTTGTCCCACAGCGACAGCCACTTGGACCGAAATGAAATTCACAAATAACAAAAACTGACAACAACAACAACAACAGCTGGCAACAGAAATCCGAATGCGGCCAACAATTGTTTGCCACTGGGCAAATTTTATTACAGCATCAACAACAGCAACAACAACAACAGCAACAACACTTGGCATAACTAAAAAACAAACAAACCGTTTGGGGCTTTAGTGCTGTTGGCTTGAACAAAAAAGTTGATGCAATTGAAGCTCGGCCCTCTAATTGTACCTGATCTACGGCATTAGTTGGCATTTAGCCCGTTTGCCTTGGGCCACGAACTGTTTATAATTAAAGTACTCAGAGTACGTCAATTGCCGAAAGAAATCACACTCAAGGCACTTATTAAGTGTCGTTATTGGAAGTGACGAGGATTTCCCGGCCTGTGGGCTAAAGTCTGGCTGGAAATGTTTCCACAGACAAGTTTTCCCAGAGCTGCGAGTCGTGTGAGCTGCTGAGAGAGAGAGAGAGAAAGAGAGATCAAGAGATCAAATCGCAGCTCTATTAAACCAATTTACAAGACGAAACCCGTTTTGAGATATTTACTCAAATATTAGCTTTGTGATTGAAATTTCTTTTTACAATCAGCAAAATGAAAAGATATTATTTCCAATCAATAGATCATGATTCGAATTATGTTTTACTACCGTGGCTGAAGATCTTTGCATAAGCAGCTTTCATTTATTATGAGAAAGAGGAAAGAGTGATAGAGGAGATGCAGGAGAAGGATAGAGCAGAGAGAGAGAGAGGAAGAGATCCCTCTCTTATGTGAGAGGAGACTAAAGAGAGAAGAGTAGAGAAGGAAAAGCAGAGAGATAACGAACGGAGTACATGAGTTGAGAGGAGAGAAGAGAAAAAGAGAGAGTGAGAGAGAGAAACGGCAAGAGCCGAGCAGTAGAGAAGGAGAGAGAGAGAGAGAGTGAGAGAGAGAGAGAGAGTGAGAGAGAGAGAGAGAGAG